TTTAGTTTTTCAGACAGGCCTGGGGGAAGAGGAGAGGATTGCTGATCATCCTACTTCCAGAGGTAGCGGGGATCACAGGTGGACCAGCCCTCCATTCTGTTTCAAGCCTCTTAGAAGTTGTTAAATTAACAGAAAATAGTAGATGTTGTAAGTTTCACTTTTAAAATTATTTCATTCATTGGAAAAATATTTAGCAAGCTCCTTCTAGGCACTGGAAGTGAGGCAGGTAGACAGATGAGGAAACAGGGAAATTAAATTATCTTTAACAAATATTAAAAGGACCAAGAGCAGCTAGCCCGTTCCATAAGACTTTTAGGTGTTAAGTTACAAGAACAGGAAAACTAAAGGGTTCGTATCTGCCTTTCTCTTTTAGATGTTAACTAGCTACAAGACTCCTTAAATGAGTAGAGGGACAGATAGAATAAAAGACATCTCTGGCAAGGGAAAGTCTTAAAATTCACCTATTGTCCCTGTTTTGGGTGGGCCTAAACGACATCTCCATGTTTAAAAATAATAATAAACAGCATCCATCTTGGGCACCCAGATCCATTGTTTAATGATTAGGATTGCTAGACTTCCACTTGATAACGTGTTTCCCCAGGTTCAGAAAGTTTAAGACCACATATACACCACCATTTTGAGTCTTTACTCCCATTTTCTTGCAGGGAAGCAGGAAATGTTTCTCCTTTTCCCCCTACACTTCTCCCTACTTATCTTTTTAAACTAAAATAAATCCTTGCTAAAACTTCTGTCCTGTTAGACTTCTTGTTGAAATCCTTTTCAAGTGTGGCTCTCAAGTAACCTGTGATTTTTGCCTGGAAACTGTGAAGCTGTGGGAGCCCCTCACCCCTCCTGCAACGGAACAAAGAGCAAGCGAAGTCCAGACCCTAAAGAATCTCCATTTCAATGGGGAAGACAAATTAGCAAGTGAAAAGGACTTCTGCCAGAGCTGGAGCAGTTTGATACTACTGTTGCAATAGGAGGGGTCAGAAAATGCCTTCAAGACTTTTCTTTTGAAGATTTTGGGGAAATTTAAACAGGTCCCCAAGACAACCTCAAAGACAGCTCCTCATCACTATTTCATCCCTTTGCCATCTAGGGTTATATAGCCTTGGGTCACTGCTAACTCAGCCAGGTTTTATATATGACGGAGCATCATGTTCCCAAAACTATACAGATGGAAAACTGTGCTTTTACTTTAAAAGGCTTCCTGCCTTGGTCCTGCTGTTTTAAACTTAGCTGACCTGAACTCTTTCCGCGTTTTCAGTGCCGGAGGCTCTCAATACGCTGGTGACCTCCCCTCCATAGCCACCTCGCGGCCGGATCGGTGACCCTATGACCTGTCATTTTCACGGTGACCTCCACAGAAGGGACCACTGCGGGCACCCTAAAGTCGCCGGGAGCCCCGCCTTGTGTTAAGGATCTGGGGCGCACCCGGGCCAGTCCCAGGCGCCTGTAGGGGCGAGGCTCCTTTAAAGTCTGCACTCGGGGTTTCGCCGCACCGCCCCGCCCCGCCGCCGGCTCAAGTGCTCTTGGAGCACCTCGCGGCCCCGCCCCCGCCCCCGCCCCAGGCTCTGCGGTCACACCCGAGGCCCCGCCCCGAACTCCCCTCCGCCTCCCCGTCCATCCCCGGCTCTGTTAGCGCCCGGAGCAACTCGTGATCCCGCTTCCTAGCCCCGCCTGCCCGTCCCCAGCTCTGACTGTGCGGGAGCTCCTCGCGGCGCCGCCCCGTAGGATCGCTTCGCCTTCACCCGCGTGTCTGATCAGCGCCCCAAGCACCTCGTGGCTTCGCCCCTAGCTCCGCCCTGCCTCATCCCCCCGCCAGCCTGTCCCCGGCTCTACTCCGGACTCCCGTAGCCCGCCCCTAGCCCCGCCCCTCCCCCGCCCGTCCTTCGCTCGGAGCACCTTATGGCCCCGCCCCCATTCCCTCCCTGCCTTCCCGGGCCCGCCCGTCCCAGGATCTATTGGCGCTCTGTGTACCACTGGCCCCGTCCCTAGCCCCGCCCCTCTTCCGGAGTACCTTGTGGCCCCGCCCCAAGCCCTGCCCCGCCCGCCGCCTCTATCAGAGGCCCGAGCACCTCGTGGCCCGCCCCCGCTCTGACTGAGCCCAGCGCATTTCGTGTCCCCTCAGGGCCCCCGGACTGTCTTCCGCTGTCGCCATGACCGCGGCGGTGTTTTTGGCTGCGCCTTCATCGCCTTCGGGCCTGCGCTCGCTCTCTACGTCTTCACCATCGCCACCGACCCGTTACGCATCATCTTCCTCATCGCCGGGTGAGGCGGTGCGCCGGGAAACCCGGACGCGGGATTCCCCTCCCCAACGAGATACCCACGGCCCCCGGCGTCCCCACAAACGGCTGGACACTGTTGTGTTGTCGACAAGAGCAGGGGTGATGGGGACAGCGGCGAGCCCTCCTCCGAGGCTCTGCGGGAGAAGCGGAGCGGGAGACCCCAGCGCGGGCTCCCGGAGGGGCTCTTGTTGCGGTGCTTGGTAGGCCTGTGGGTGGACTTGAGTGGGATGAGAGAAAATTTCTGGGTACATTCACAAATGTATCCTTCATTTTTCTGCAGAGAGAATCCCTAATTTCCCTCAGTTCTCAGCGGTGTCTGCAACCCCAACGGTAAAGAGCCACTAGACACCGGGACCGTAGTTCTCTCCTCTGCCCGTGAGAGCACCCGGGGACCAGGTGCTTAAAGCATTCGGATGTCCAAACCCCACCCCAGGTCCCCTGAATCAGAATGTCTGCGGGTAGGATTCGGGCTCAGATGGTCTTCAAGTCCCCGGGGTGAGTCTTCACCTGGCTCCGACTGGTGAAGACACAGAAACACCTGATCCTGTGTCTCCTCCCGGGAGCTTGGTAAATACCGAACTCTGGTGGTGAATGTGGTCACAATCTCGGCTTTCACCTGCCCAACAGGTGAAAGCTTTCTGGACAGTCCTTATTGGGCTCCTCCTCCTCCCATCCGTCCAGGTTGACTGGCCACATCAGACACTCCCCGTTGTCCTGAGCTGCTCCACCTCCCACTGTATTGAAAGTGCTACATCGCTGTGTCGTTTAAAAACAGAGATTTGGGCTAACGGTTTGTAAAGCTGCTATCATTAAAATCCCCGGAGTATCGTAAGAATTGGCCTGAAAAACTGATCTAGATCAGAGCATGCACGTTTGCAACTTCTGAATTTTACAACACACACTCTACTGGGTTTTTCGGGTTTTTTTTTTTTCTGGAAATGACGTTTATCTTTACAGATATGTAATCATTAAATCCATAATTTCTGGTAGGTTTTAAGGATATGAAGATTGCAATAGGGACAGTTGTGTATTTTATTGGTTTGGCATATCAGTGGGCAAAGCATCGTGAATAACCCAAGTTTCCAGGAGGCAGCCCTTGGCAGATAGTCTGCACTTGCGCACAACAAGCATATTCCTCTGGAACCACGTTTCTCACTACGGAAATACACCATTGAGAGTAACTGATCCAGAACACCACTTTATGAGTTTTTTTTCCCTTATTAAAAAGTCAGGCAGCCCGGCACTGATGGCCCTCGCCTGTAACCTAGCTACTCAGGAGGCAGAGATCAGGACGATCTTGGTTCCAAGCCAGCCAGGTACTTTTCGAGACCGTATCTCGGAAAAAAAAACAACACAAAAACAGGGCTGGGCTGGTGGAGTGGCTCAAAGTGTAGGCCCTGAATTAAAACCTCAGAACTAAAAAAAAAAAAAAAAAAAATTCACAAATCAAGTCATACAGCGCCTACCTAGCAATCTGGCAATTGGATCTGGCAATCTATTCCTTCTTAAGCAGGGTCTTTTTCTATTTTAAATCATTATTAATTCTCTATTACACTCACTTGTAACTTTTGTTTTTCCTATTTTTCAGAGCATTCTTCTGGTTGGTGTCTCTACTGATCTCATCCCTTTTTTGGTTCATAGCAAACTCACTTCTGGCAACAAAGATGAACCAGTACAGAAATATCTGCTCATCTTTGGAGTGCTGCTTTCAGTCATTATCCAAGAAATGTTCCGGTTTGCATATTATAGACTTTTAAAGTAAGTTAAGTACTTGCTTTATCTTTTTTTCTCTCCAGTTGAATTTGAATTATGATTTGCTAATTTGAAACGTTAATGTGGCATTTGAAGGTCTGTACTTTCCTACATAATTCTAAACCAAGAGATTGGAGCATATCCAACCTGAAAATATTGAGTATTTTAAATCAGGAAGATTCCTTCCTCCCATCCTTCCTTCTTTACAAAAATACTTCTTGAGAATTTATTCAATGCCAAAGTCTGTCCTAGACTCTAGAGATATACCAGTAATTAAGAAAAAGTTTCTGGCCTCCTGGAGCTTATAATGGGAAGAGGTAAACAAGAAATGAATCAATAAGAAAATACATTGTATATTAGAAGATAAGGGTAGTGGAGAAAAATAATCTAGGGAGTCATTGAAACAACAAAAAACCTTCCAGCCTGGAATTCATATATTCTTTCTCACACTTGAGATAATAATTCATATAAAGATTATAGTGCCAATTATTTTGACTATATTAGGAGAAAACAGGGTTCGTTTTCTGATATTTCTTATAGGTTCAAGTCTTTAAAAGAAAAAATATTTTTTAAAAAGCCTTAAGCACATTAGCTTCCCTTTTGGGCCAAAAAGTAGCCCAGATGTAAGATCCACGAGAACCTCACATGAAACCACTGATTTGAAAAAAAACACCGCTTGTACTTGAAATCATATATTTTTTTTAGGAAGTCATGAGATTGGTTTTGGTTATATAGTAAGACTTAGTACTGAGTGATATTGTGCCATCCTTTTTTATTTCTGCAAGTGAGGTCATTACAACACTCCATGAATTTCATAACTATAACCCAGACTGAACTTTAACATCTGTTTGGATAGACTCTGTTAATTTGTTCTTGCCAATATGTAATTTTTACTTTTAATAGTAGACATTGAGTTCTCTTTCCCCAATGGAGCAATTTAAATTAAACATTGAAAACCAGGAAGTGGAGTGACTCAAGTGGTAGAGTACCTGCTTAGCAAGTATGAGGCCTGAGTTCAAACCCCAGTCAGTTACCACAAAAAAAAAAAAAAAAAAAAAAGGGAAAGAAAACCAGGAAGCTATTGCTTAGAAGCAAAAGTCATATCTCAGAAAAGGTATAAAAACGAAATTCTCATTGATCTCTGAAATATTAAAGACCAACAAGTAAATACCAAAAGTAACATTTAGGGCTGGAGATGTAGCCAAGTGGTAGAGCCCATGCCTAGCATGCTCAAGACTCTGAGTTCAACCTCTAGCACCGTAAAAGAAAAGAAAAATCCCAACAAGTAAATGTAGCGTTTAGGGGGAGGTGGGAATGAAGAAGAATGGTGGAAGGGGTGAATTCAAGTATATTTGATATATTGTAAGAACTTTTATAAATGCCACAATGTACCCCTACCCAGCACAACAAGAAAAATAAATAAAAAGAGAAAAAAAAAGAAAAAGTAACATTTGAAGTTGGGTGTGTTGGCATGTGTCTGTAGTCCCAGTTACTCAAGATAGTTGAGCCCAGACAATCTCAAAAAGAAAGTAACATTTAACTTTTCACAGGGAGGAGTAAAACATCCCTAACAGACATTTAGCTGTGGTTGAATGTTTCTGGTGTGCAGCAGTTAATACCATTCTGCAGTTTTAATTTCTTTTTTTTGTGGGACTGGGTTTGAACTCAGGGCTTCATGCTTGCAAAGCAGGCACTCTACCACTTGAGCTATGTCTTCACTCCATTTTGCTCTGGTTATTTTGGAATGAGGTCTTGGGGTGAACTATTTGCCCAGGATGGTCTCAAGCTGCAATCCTTCCCATCTCAGCCTCCCAAGTAGCTAAGAATACAGGTATGAGCCACTGCTGCCCAGCTTATAATTTTAACTGTAGAATATTGTTAATGTACTGAAAACCTTCCTACTTCTTATGTGTGACCCCACTCACCAAATAAAGGAAATTTCTGGTACATGGTTGTCACAGTGTCTGTTTCAAGACTCAACACTTCTCCTTTCTTTGGACTTCAGACGACATGGTTGTGAATTTCGAGCGGTTTTTTGTCAGGGGACATGCTCTTTCTTGTTAGCACCCGATTTTTTACCCATGCTTAGGGCCCAGTGCAGTATTCTGTGGAGTGGTCTCAGTAGCACCTTTGACTGGCACTGTGCTCTCTCATTGTGCTGAGTTTTCCTGGCAAGTGATATCACTGGCTTATGTTGGATTTGCATTTTTATGTTGGTTCTAATTTTGAAAAAACTTAATTTCTAACACAGAATTTCACAGTTTAAGACAAGGGTTAGTAACCCTTGTTCTAAAACCTAACTTAACCAGAGTGTCAAGATTAAAATGTAGTATCTGCTGTTCTTCCCTTCCTTTTTTCTTTCATGGTTTCCACCTGAAATGTCATCCTTTTCTTGGCACTTATCTATGGTGCCAAAGGCATCCCTAGTACCTGTAGTACTGGGATTTGAACACAGGGCCTCACGCATGCTAGGCAGGCCCTCTACCACTTGAGCCACTTTGCCAATAATGTAATGAGGGCAGTAAGGGAATCTGACCACATTAGGAAGGAATTACAGCTGTCAATTTGCAGGCTCTCATGCTAAGTTCAGAGAAGTCTCTTTGGCCTCCTAGGAAAGTCCTGTTCTTCTTAAAGGCCCTTTGGAAATTTGCAAACAGATGGTATATTAACAGGTGCCTTTGTTTGTATTTGCAGATGGATCTCTAATAAGCCTTTGGAATATTCTACAGAAATTTACCAGCAAATTTTAGAAATGTTGGGTGCTATGTAGCTGTGTTATAATAAGCTTGAGAAGTTTTACAATACTTTGTTGGTGACTAACACTTATGTGGATACTTTTTTTTTTTTCCTCCTAGTACTGGTGTTTGAACTCAGATCCTTGAGCTTCCTGCTAGGCAGGCACCCTGCCACCTGAATCAAACTGCCAGATATATGGATACATTTAAATTGCTCTTCTGCTATATTGCATTCAAATACAGGGACTTTAGTTTCATCGGTATTTTGCTTAATTGTCTCCACTGCCAAAGTACATTTGAAGTTCAAAGAACTGCCTCAATCAAATTTTTCCTATCTGAATTTGCACCAGTTTTTTGTTTTTTTTTTTTTAATGTTTTCATTTATTTGTTTGGTAGTATTGGAGCTTGAACTCAGGGCCTCATGCTTGCTAGGCAGGCACTCTACCATTTGAGCCATACCTGCATCAATTTTTATAAACTCCAGTCTAATAATAAATTTATTTAATGGGTTAAACTTTAGGAACAGTCACTTCATCTTGAATGAATGAGTGAATGAGTGAACCATAAATATTTTGTAATTTTAGAAAATCTTCTCACTTATAGAAAAACGTTAACGATTGTTACAGTTTTTTGTAGGAGGGTAGTGTTGGGGGTTGGACGCCAGGGCCTTACATAGGCTAGATAAGCACTCTGCCATGGAGCTACACTTCCAGCCCCTGGTATGGTCTTTTTAGAGGCATCAGTCTAGTTTTAAAGAACACATGAGCTGGCAGAGTGGCTCAGGTGGTAGAGTGCCTGCCTAGCAAGAGTGAGGCCCTGAGTTCAAACCCCAGTACGGGGAAAAAAATTACTCAAAAAAGAACAAATGAGAAAGACAATGACGTATCAGTTTTGCAAAGCTTATATTTTAAAAATTGGAATTTTTTTGTTCTTGGAAATATAAGTGCAAACAAAGAGTTCAAAGTGGGATATGGTGGTTCACATCTATAATCCCAGCACTCTGTAGGTAGATTGTGAGTTTGAGGCCAGCCTGGACTACATAGCAAGATCCTGCCTCAAAAAACAAAAACAGAAAAAGATTTTCCATTTCAGTAATATTGGAAAACACTGCCCTTTGCATCATCGGTTGTGTTCTGTTCCTGAGGAACACGGAAAGTAATCATGTTTTGTCCTTCCTCACTTCCTAATGTTAACATTGAGAAGTGTTAGTGTCGTAACATTTCCTCTTGCAAACTCCCATAGCACAGAGTGAGGAAGTAAGTAAACACTGGATGTATGTGTTCAGTATATTCGTGCTAGCAGTACTCTGCTATACCATATTGAGAAAAATTTTTATTCCTGACAATTTATGTAAAACAGAAATTCTCCAAAATTTGATTCTACTATTGATATATTTACTGATGCATTTGTATTGATATATTGATGGAGATTATTAGCATCATAAGGTTTAAGTACCCTTTAACAGCATCCCTGTGACAGATAAGTTTATTTTATTTATAGGAAAACAGTCACTTAAATTTCTGGCTCATGTCCTTGTTCCCAAACGGTGCTTCTAAATGGAGCACTGAAATAGCAAATTGTTTTTTCTGAGTCTAGAAAAGCAAGGGACTCTTTTCGTTATGCTTATTATTATTTTGGTTGAATTCTTCATTGCCATAATATAAGCAATGATACTTGTATTTATATAATGAATAGACCAACTATAATGAATATTCATACCTTGAAATTTAATTCAACATATGATGCCCAGAAAATCAGTATGTTTTGGTTAACTTGTCTGTTTTTAGAGTTAATCTAACTCCTTTTGTTTTTAGCACTTGCTGACAAATCATTCTAACATGTCTTGGTTCCTTTATTACTTTAATAAATATACTTTATAGTAAATATATTCTTTGAGTCAGGCTCTTATACTGTTGAGTTTCTAGTCAACAAGGACTAGTAATAGAACAACTTATCAGCCACACCTAGCATTCCTAACATACCTGCATGGGGAGCAGGGGCTCAGGGTAAGCTTGTGAAATGGCTGTAACAGAAACATGGATATCACTCTGATGATCATTTCTTATTGAGCAGTATTCTGTCTTCACTCAAGTACTCATTCATCTCCTATTCTGAAGTAGCATTTTATTCCACAGGATATATAAAAATATCTGGCAACTTTCTCTACTGGAGCCTCATTGGGGATATTAAACAAATATATAAAATATTTCAGAACCAGAAGATCATATGATTAAGTACCCATATGGGAGTGCAGACAATCAGTGTGATAGGATGTAAGAGTAAGGAGATATTGGTGATTACCAACCATTGGTAGAGGCAGCTACTTTAAGAAATTGCTTCCTGGCTAGATAGTCATGGTAGCTCACACTTGTAATCCTATCTATTTAGAGGCAGATATTGGGAGGATCTTGGTTCCAGTCACCCTCAGCAAAAAGAGTTCATGAGACCCCTATCTCAACCAATAGAAGTTGGGCATGGTCACATGCCTGTCATCCCAGCTACTCAGCAAGCATAAATAGGAGGATCTCAGTTCTGGGCAGCCCAGGCATACATGCAAGACCCTATTCATAAAATACATAAAGCAAAAGGTGCATGGCTGAAGTGGTAGAAAACCTTCCTGTCAAGCACAAGGCCCTGAGTTCAAACCACAGTACTGCAAAAAAAAAAAGGGAAGGAAGGAAGAGCATCTTCCTGGGTACTGGTGGTATCATTCAGTGGTACAGTGTGTGAGGTCCTGGGTTCAATATCCAGCATACATGTATGCAAAATTGCTGCCCTAACTGGACTTTGAAGGGTGAGAACAATTTTGTTGCTATGGAGAGGAAAATAGAAGGGAAGGTGGTAGAATAAGTTTGGCACTAGTGGAAAATACAATGAAGTGCCAACAAAATGGAGAAGAAAGCATAATATGTTGAGAAGAGAAAAAAATTCAGAGTGGTAGGTACCACAGGATACTGGGATCAGAAATTGAGGTCAGAAATTACAGTATTGCTATTTTTCCGATTAAACTAACTCCTGAGTAGCTTGTTTGCTTCTATTTTTCTATTATTTATGTGAACATCAGATAAAATGCAGAAGTTAATTGGAAATTTCAGTTGATTTTATTTCATTGAAAATGTGCTCGGTTTTGTTTAAATGGATTCTATATTTAAATAGTATAACCTGATTAGAAGCTTCCTCAGTAAGTGTCTAGTTTGCAATGGTCTTCATATACTGATTCTTCTTAAAAAGAAAATGATATGTGTATGGTTTTATTCTAGAAAAGCCAATGAGGGTTTCAAGAGCATAAACCCAGATGAGACAGCACCATCCATGCGATTGCTGGCCTATGGTAAGTTAGAACTGTATGGTATCCTTAAGGAAAAGAGAACTCAGACTTGGCATAAAAACCGTTTTTATCTTTTGTATTTTTATAGATTTCTGCTTCTGTCTCTGTTATTAGCATATATTAATTGTACAGAGGGGTTTCATTGTGATATTTCCACATATCTTTGAGATTAAGCAGTATTTTATTACTACCTTGGCCTATTGGTATGCATTATTATGTTTATAGCTTTCATGGTTCCTTATGTAAAAAAGTGGTTGCTAGTGACTATACCACTGGTATAGTCAATAATATATAAAGGTACTATCTATACCATTAAATATAACCAAGTTTGAAAGTTAGGTTTTTAACATGTATATACTTCAGTTAACTAAACTTCAAAGCAATGTACCTGTTACTTTCTGTGACTGTTTAGCATGACCTTGCTGTACTAGGGGGACGCTTCTTATTATAATGCACTTAACGTCTCTACATATTGTTCTCTCAGAACTTTGTTTAAAGATTGAATCTAATTTCCTCATTTGAGTTACCTAAGTCTGGCCCAGGGATCAAACTTACAATTCAATCACCCTCAAGCTCAAGACCATTTCTAAGCCATCAAACTTGACTCTGTACACTGTTGTTATAACTAAAGTCAGAGCTTCAGCATTATATCCTTTCTGGTCATTTTCCTCTCCTTTTTTCATTTCTCTGCTACATCCCTGCTGCTCTTTTTCTTTCCCCTTCTGTCTTTGCTCATCATTTAACAAAGTACATGCCTTTCCAGAGCCAGCTGTCCAGTGTTTCAATAGCATAGGGGCTGGGACATGCCTCAAGTGGCATAGTAATTATCTAGCAAGCACAAGTCCCTGAGTTCAAACCCAGTATCACCAAAAAACAAAAGCAAAAAACCCCCACTATATGTACCTTTTCCCATTCAACAACATAGTATTCCTCAGTACTTGGAAATTAGATTTGAAGAGAAGTCATAGCAGGAAAAAAGGTTTAACAGTGTTTCATTTTGTTTTGTTCCTCTTTAGTTTCTGGCTTGGGCTTTGGAATCATGAGTGGAGTATTTTCCTTTGTGAATACCCTGTCTGATTCCTTGGGGCCAGGCACGGTGGGCATTCATGGAGATTCTCCTCAGTTCTTCCTTAATTCAGGTATGTGTCTGGTAACTGGCACGTTCAGGCTTGTCCCCTAAAGGATCGTCCCTGTTGGAGTCCACTGATTTAGGAACTCAAGTGGATACAAATTTATGTTATACCTTTTAAAGGCAAAATACTCTTAGGCACTATAAAGTGAAGGACCTATTAAAATAAAAATGTTGGTTATAGTCGTTAGAGTTTTTTAAAATGAAGTTTAGCTTGCTTAAAATTTAGTTTTATTTTGCTGTATTAACAATGTTACTCTATAGTTGAAATATTAGAAGTGAATTTTTATAGACTATATGCTGTTTTTGTGATTTTGTATTTATCTTCAGTGTAAGCCCTGATCTAATTATTTATATTTCAGTCCCTGTTGGAGATGTGCAGTATTATTTAATCTTGAAATTGAGAAGGGAAGAATAATAGTTGAATTGATCTATTTATCCAAAGATTCAGTGTGAAAGGACCAACTCATTTCATATTGCTTTTCATCCATCCACCAGTTAAAATTCGTCATCATGATACAGTAATCACAAATTTGAGTTAGAAATGTGTATAATTAACATAAGACTTTCTCCTAAATTCCACAAGAAAACTCTTTAGAAAATAGAGGGGGAAAATTCAAAATTCTCTGTAGTTTTCCCCAGAGCAGTTGTGCCATGGAAATAACTGACCCCTGCATACCCATTCTTCTAATTTAATTATTATTCACATCTAGATAAAGCTTCTCAGGGAGCCTGCCCTCTTACAGGAGGAAAGGGACCAAAAAGAGTGAATAGCATGTTAGTTTAATATAATAATCAAAAAGGCAAAAAGGGGTATGACCATTTTAAAAACCATTGCTGCAGTAGCTTCGGATAATCCCGCATGTTGTAGGTAGTCCTAAACCCAACACTTTCACCATTCTCAGTACAGCCTTTGTTTCAGGCCTATGGTTAGTCGTCTGAACTTGGCATCTCCTGTCTAGATGGATGCCATCAACCCCCAACTTTCCATGTGAATTCAGCCTGTATGTAGCCACCAAACTAATTGTCCCTGTTTCAAAAGTTTTTGACTTTCCAGGGTCAAGTCAAGGCGCTTTAACTCTGACTACAAGCTAGAAGATAGGGAAGTGTGTTAGTAGGTCATATTTATTAATGATGCCTCCAAAATAGCAAATTACCTTCATTTGTAAATACTCCATAACTGGGATATTTCAGGCAAGTTTTTAAGTAATTATATTGAGTATTAGGTTTTTAAAACAAATGTAACACTGATAGCTAAAGTCTATTAGAGACCAATATACATGAATAAAACATATTCATTGGGGTGTTGCAACCTATAGTTTTCTGTATTTTCTTTTTTTGGGGGGGGAGTTAGAACTGGGATTCAAACTCAGGGCTCTGTGCTTACAAAGTAGGTGCACTACAGCTTGAGCCACACGTTCTCCAGTCCAAGTTTTCCATATTTTCTTACAGTCTGTTAAGTTGCTGCAGACGCTGTTTTCATGCTCAAGTTTTGCTAGCTTTTTTCACTAGGTGGTGCTAATACCCTTCAATGAACTAGGCTATTTTCAAAAAACTAGCTTAAAATGATTCTTTTGGAAGAGAATGAAAGATTTGCTAGCACTTTGGGAATTATATTTATAATTTCCATGAATTTAAGTAAAATACAGTATTTCTTATCCAAGTTAGTATGACAGACTGGCCAACACTGTGAATATATATATACCTGTAGAATGAAATAAGTTGTCATGTGTGTTTCTTGTTATAACATCATTCCTTGAACATGAACTTTGAATTATATAATTAAGAAATTAATTTTTAGTTCAACACCCAGTACCACTGAAAAAAGAAATTAATTTTTATTTAAGCATAACCCCAAATTTACATGTTTGCATTTGTAATTTCTTATAGTTGTTACCATTTAGCCATAAACTCATTTTTTAATTTTGTAGCTTAACTTAAAAGTTTCTGTGCTTAATATATTCCATTAAAATGCCTAAATAATAGTCAGGATAAATAAGGGCCACTAATTAGTATATCTATGTTAGTGGATATTATAAAGACACACATTATATAACACCTGTATGTACATACATTTTTTTTGACAAAAATAAGAATAAGTTATAAATACCATATGGGTATGAATTCTTTTTTTACTTATAGTTATGTAGTAGCCTAGCACTGAATTATTAGAATATTGCCATTTCTTAGAAATGTTTTGTATAGATGAAAGTGTGGGAAAGTTCAGGTTGTATCCTGGCTCATTAATTTAGTATTTGGGAGAAGTCCATGTGATTATTTAACTACTTAATCAATAAATAAATATTAAGTATTGCTATTCAGTGGTAGTTACTCAAGCTAGGAAAATACAGCTCAGTTATTTATTGTTCATACCTTCCACCCATAGGGGGGAATAAAGACAAACAGCTGATTACAAAAAAGCATAATATAAATGGTACAGAAGGAAAGGGCACTAACTCAGCTCGAATGGAATAGCACTTTGCCTTTATCATATTTATATAGTTGTGACTGACTAATGGTGTAATTATTTGTTTATTGTCTCTCTCTCTCCAGTTGAGTACTAATCCATGTAAATGCAAGGACTGTGTCTGTTTTGTTCACTGCTGTATTTCTAGGACCTTGTGGAATCCTTTGTTTCTAGATGGTATTCAATAAATGTTTACTAAAAATGAAAGCGAGGCACAGCTCATGGAGGAAGTGCCATTTGGATAGAGATTTGCTTAATGATAAATAATAGCTAGGCTGGTAAAGGAAGGGGGATGTTCCAGGCAAAGAGAAGAAACTTCTTTCTTACAGGCTTCAATTTCCTGGTCTTTCAGGGAGGGTAAAAATAATGCCTAACTTTGAGTTGTTAAGCGTTAAATTAATTTAGATAATGTATATACAAGTGCTTTAGAAGCTCTAAAGTGGCCTAAGGGTATTATTAAAGTAGAGAATTTCATGTTTGAGATTAGAAAACAGAATTTAGAGAGAAGATAATTTCTCTAATATTATGTGGAATGTAGGTTAATCACAATTGCTCTGAATTACCACCTTTATACTTCAGAAGAAAAATGCCTTAGTGTTCAGTAAAAACATACAGCAGGTATTTTTGAGCTGCCCAAGTTTCATTTATCTTATTTAGGAAGGTTTAGAGCTTTTAAGTTGCTAAAGCTTTCACTAGGCACCATCAGTACTGGTAGAGCATTGCGTTCAGTTGTGAGCATTGCGATTTAGCAAGAATTCTGAAGAACTAAAATGCACATAGAAGAACACTATTAATATAGCAAAGCTCTAGAAGTTGTGTCTTATTGGATGTAATTGAAGAAAAAGGAATAGTAAGTGAAATAAGAGAAATACAGAAGGAAAATTTCAGATGAATGCTGAAGATTGTTTTTGTTTCAACTTGTCATTTCCTGCAATAAAATTAGAAATCCACACATTTGCATGGCCTCATAGTAGCCAGAATATACTTCTCTGCCGCTTGACTTTGAGCTCAGTCATGTGACTTGAACTGGTCAGTGGGTGGAAGTCAGAGGCTTCAAAAGTACTTGCATGGTTGGACCTGTGTCCTTGGACATGGTTCATCTGCAATATGAAGAACATGCCCTGGATAGTTAATGCCCACATAGTCTGGACCCCTGAAGTAACACACATAGAGTAGACCTGAGCCCAGCCGGTAGCAGAGCTGTCAGCTTTGCCTAACCTCCATCAACTAAAGCATAAGAGGTGTGCAAATAAATCCTAATTTTTAAAAATTATTTATTCACATGTGCATACATTGTTTGGGTCATTTCTCCCCCCAGCCCCCCTAAATCCTTATTTTTAATAAAACTAGTGAGGTCTTTTTTCATTCACTTTGTTAGTCACAGTGTTTTAAGAATAATCACAATGTGGCAATTTGTTGAAGATTTTGACTTTTTTAGGGGGAAGGGGATTGGACTAGGGTTTGAACTCAGCGCTTCATGCCTGCAAAGCAGGTGCTCTACCACTTTAGCCGGTCTCCAGTTCATTTTGTTCTGGTTATTTTGTAGATGGTGTCTCGCAAACTGTTTGCCCAGACTGACCTCAAACCGTGATCCTTCCGATCTCAGCCTCTCAAGTTGGTAGATTACAGGCAACTTTTAAATGAAGTAAATTAAGCTGTTTGTAAGCAAGATTATCACAATATTACCAAATTCCAAAGTGGTAGAGAAAAATAGAACATGTTTTAATGATACAGAGAAGTGATCAATAGAGCTTAATCTAAAATTATCCTTTTCTGTATTCATTAGAATCTTAATTTCTAATAATAAATTATCAGAAATAATTGTCACCATTTATGACACAATGATACTCCCTGTATCACATTTTTCCTTTTCTGTTTTCTTTATATCAGTAGTGTAATGGTCTTTCCTTCAAACTGCTCAAATAAACAAGAATAGAAAAATATTGTTTTCAGAGCATCTTTTCATTAAACCTTGAGTTATCGCAGACTATAGTAACCTGTGATACATTACAAAGTACATGCGTGACAGGGTTCAGTCTTTAGGCAGTGCGCAAATAGGAAGCTCAGTGTATTGCTTCATCATCTTTGGCAGAAAGTATGGCAGAGGCTGTGGCTCTAAGACTTGATTGCTCTTCTAGGTATAGTCTAGGCCAAATTTAGTCATGCTGTCTACCTCTCAGCTAAGGCAGTCGAATGCACTCACTCCTGGTCTCTGCAGGCCTTATTTCTTCCACATGTGTGAAAGGGTCCTTATTTTCTTCATCCACTGATGCCTTTAAGTTTTGGTATTTTGGGGGTTTTGTTACTTTTTCTCCATTGAATTTCACTGAGGTTTTTTTTTTTTTTCATAACCATAATGAGCAAGAGACTACCTTAAAAGATGGATGATCTGCATGAGATGAAAGTCACGTGGCTTGAAAAATCATCCAATATAGTATCTTCATACACCCTCATAGGAATATAGTTTTTGTCCACTGAATTCAGCATTAATAATTTGAAAGGGAAACTACCCTTTTTTCAACTTTAATAATGTAGCCTTCCTCAGCAACATCAGTCTGACCCCATGCAGCTCCATGGCTGTGTCTGGCAGATACGCTGGAGATCCTGGCATTTACTGACATGCTCCACACCCACTTCTTTATGGCTGGAACCACTGCACCGTTTCCCTCTTCTGCCTCTCCATAACTCTGCTAACAAGAGTCAGAGTGTTCATGTCAGCATGGCTGCATTGCACAACTTCTGGGGGCATCACTCACATTGTAAAATATTTTATTGCTATACTCTGAGATTTTCCAGCCCTATTCCTGGAAAAAGTTTTAGCCAAATTTCCCAGAACCAGACTTTTCTTACATGTATAAGTGTTTGGAAGTCTTGGCAGTTCTTTTTGATGAACTATTCAACCTTGAGGTTTACCCTAAGGGGTAGATCTATTAGATTTTATCATCTTTTTATTGTTCTAAAGTTGTCACCAAAAACTTAAACATTTTTCTTGAGACTGAAGACTGTTGTTTGAGCTGCTAAGCTGCTTTTCCATCTCTAGTGGGACTTTCTCCTTACATTCAGTGGAACAACAATTTGAAATTCTGCTGACTTCTCAGGAGAAATTCTGGAGGACAGAAGACAGTGGAACAGCAGCTTTAACATGATTGACCCCTGAAGTTTCTTCATGTCATTGATACAAGTCCCTCCTTCTAGCTGCTTAGGCCAAATTATTTCACTGAAATAATTCCTAGTTTTTCCTTTTTCTTATAACTCACATACAGTCTAACTGCAAATCTTATCTCCAGTTCTCATAGGCTTGGTTTTGCTTTATAAATCAGGAATAGGTAAGTTTAACAGCTAACTTGGAGCAAGAATTTAAAGAAAATGTAAACCTGATGGTGCTGAAACTATTCTAGGCCAGGACAGACTTAGAAAGGTCCCAGTTAATTTCATGAACTCCATGAAGCATTGTTGGCCAGTAGTAGATTCTTGAGAGCCCATATCTACCACCTGCTGCTTGAAGGTGGGCTCACTCATTAGGGGATTGTATCCAGGGGACTATGAACATTGCCTTGGACCCCATGCTGCCAGTGGCAACTCCAGCTAGTGAGTTTTGGCATGATTAGTGCATCATGATTGTGACAGTAGTTGACTAATACAGGGAGTTTCAAAACAATTTTTTGTGTGTCACATATGGAAGAAAGAGTTGACTTGTGTTACTTCAAAGAGCCTTTCTTGGATCAACAAGCAGGAGGTAGAACAGTTTTTTTCAACCACAGCACTACTGACATTTAGAGCTAGAGAATTCTTTGTTAGGGAGCTGTCTTGTACATTTTCAGGGTATTTAACAGCATCCCTGGCTTCTGTCAACCAGATGCCAATAGCATCCCATCCCCAGTTGTGATAACCAAACATGTTTACAGATATTGACAAATGTCCACTGGGGCAAAATCACGTCAGCTGAGAGTCACCGAGATAGAGAAAGGCAGGTGTAGATTGTTTGAGGAGAAAGTTTCCCAAGGGGACTCTGTGTAAAGTGAGTTCCTATACTGGAAGTACTCACAGTGGATGGACCCTGTGGCATTTATTTTTTTCATCATGTAGGGGAAAAAAGTTGGATCACACAACTTCTAATGGGCCTGCCAGGGCTGACTTTCCATATTGATGAGCTAATTTGAGGAGTGTGTCATTGTTGTTCAGCATTTTCTGCGAGGACTTTAAACATAAAGTCATATTTTTAGCAGTCCATTTAGCTCATAAACATTTTCACAAATATGAAATGGTAAGTGCTATTTAAACACCTGAGGTCATTTAAGTTGCATGGGGGACATCTCCTTTACAGTCTTCTTGGTATTAAGGGACAATACCATGCCTTTTTTACTGGCATGTGATATGAGATGGTTTCAAAATATATTTTTTAATTTGAGAAAATGTTATTAGTTTAATTAGTAATATATGTACAAAAACCAGCCACAGAATCCTCTTGCATTTTTTTAAGCAAAATTTTAAAGTTAAATCCCCATTGGGGGAAAACATTCTCAAGAACATTAGTTTTGAGGCGTAATTCCCGCTAGTGCTAGGTGATTGGGACTCGCTCAAGAATCCAGAGAATTTCTACAACCTGAAAGAATAGAGGAGAGTCTCCCACTCATGAACTCTGAAGCCCTAGACCTTTCTCGTTACTTAGGAAAAGAATCCAAAAGCCGTTGCTGTTCACAGCCTACCCCTAGGAAGCTGAGGCCAACAGGGCTTTGGGAGTCCTCCTCTGTTTGTAGTTACCACCAACCACAAACAGCCCCGGGCTCTATGTGACCTAGTTAGAATATCCAGAGGTGGTCAGGGAAGGCCAGATTGTAGCTGTTTCTGTGCTCTCAGGAATCCATTGTGAGTATTAGTTGCTATCTGAGGCCGTCATCTTTGCAAGAACATGGAAGCAGATACCAGGAATGAAGGAGAGAAGAATGAGGCACTGGATCTATGTGCTAGAGAATCTGGGATATTTTCAGTCTCCATGTTCATGGCAGTGCATGGAGAAGGGTAGACAGAAGCTGCCAACCAGATAACACATCAGCATGGCATTGCTTTTGCTCACTTGCTCTCTCTCTTTTTTTTTTTTTGGTGGTACTGGGGTTTGAACTCAGGGCCTAACCTTGAGCCACTCTACCAGCCCTTTTTTGTGATGGGTTTTTTCAAGATAGGGTCTTACAAACTATTTGCCCCAGGCTGGCTTCAAACAGCAGCCCTCCTGATCTCTGCCTCGTGCGTAGCTAGGATTACAGGTGTGAGCCACCACTGCCCAACATACTGCTTTCTCTTGACATTTAATTGATATCTAGCTTTTAGAAAACCTTTGGAGTATGTATGCTTTAAGTTTCAACTCTGTGAACATTTATCTTTAAAGGAGCTTCCCTGTCCAGAATCATCACTAGAATGGAAATAATATCCTTTTAGTGTGGCTGGCCGTAGCGTTGAAGTTTTAGAACTATTCCTTTGCTTCTGTTGAAATATTTACCTTCACTACCCCAGTTTGGTGTTGCATGCCTGTAATCCCAGCTACTCAGAAGGCAGAGATTGGGAGAATCACAGTTTGAGGCCACCTTAGGCAAGTAGCTGGCAAGACTCCCATCTCAACAAATAGTGTGGTGCTATTCATCTGTATTCCAAACTACACCTGAGACATACATAGGAGGATCATGGTCTGAGGCTAGCTCTGTGCAAAACCAAGAGACCCTATTGGAAAAATAATTAAAGCAAAAAGGGCTGTGGGCCTTCCTAGCTAGTGTGAGGCCCTGAATTCAAACCTCATACTGGGAAAAAAAGAAAAAAAATTTACCATCACTTACTGAAATACACTCTCACACAAGATGAAAATGTAACAACTTGCTTTCTTTTAACCACAACAGTTATGTCCTTTTAATATTATTTGCACCTATTTTACTTCATATAAATGAAATAGTATGCATTTTCCCCAGTGTTTTCTTTCAGCATTGTATTCTAGAGATCTTTTATGTTGTCAATCATATTTAGTAGTTCATTGTGTAACTACACCATGATTTATTTATCCATTCTTGTAATGGTGGACATTCTTGTGTACTGATAAATATTCTTGTGTACATCTCCTTGTGCCCAATTGTAATAATTTCTAGAGCAGGATTCTGAAACTTGGCCAAGCATCAGAATTGCTAGAGGCTGCTTCACTGTGGTTGCTAAGCTTCTACCAGCATTGCTCCTGACTCAGGTGTGGGGTGTGCCAGTGATTGACAGTTTGAACAAGTTCACAGGTGCTGGTGATCTATTGATTTGAGACCTGTCTCAGTTTAGATGTAGCTTGGAATTGCTCTAGTGAAATAGATGCAAATTCCCACTTTAATTGGTAATGTTAGATTGTTTTCCTACAAGCAGTGTACAAGACTTGACTTTTCCATCTGCTGAGTGTTAATGGTCTTTTTTTACATAATAAGAAAGGGAAATCTATATACCTTTTTCAAGTTAAAATTTACAGAATATATGGAACTTGCCTGCTTTAAATAAAAAATGTTCTCCAGGACACAGGAAACACACAGAGAAAGACAGTATTCCACAGAAAACCTGTAGGTGCTTCTTGGCTTAAGAAGGCTCTTAGATCATCATAATGACTTTAATGTTATTTTATTCTTCCATTGGTCTTTTAAATAAAGTTCAGAAGAGAAATTCCACTTTAATGAGGAGACTTGTATCAATGGAAAATGCTTCACTTAGTTGAGTAAAGTCTCTCTTAATTAGGATGGAAGGCTAATTGGGGGAAAGTTGGTTGGATTTCACAGTAATCTTACCACATTCTTCAGTGAAAGGGATTGAAAGTCAGATCCAAGTTGACTTGTTGAATAGGTTCACATTCAGAGGAAAAGCTGCATCAGAGGCTGACCCCTCCTCCTTCAGAAATGCAGCAGAACATGTGTCAAGGCCCTATTTGTGTTGGATGGTGGTGCCCCCCCAAAAGCAGCAGCGTGTTCAGCAAATTTCGTTGTCTGCTCTCTGGAGCACTGTACATTAATCACTGTCTGTCTTTCAGCTTTCATGACACTCGTTATCATATTGCTGCATGTGTTCTGGGGCATTGTCTTTTTTGATGGCTGTGAGAAGAAAAAGTGGTACATCCTTCTTATTGTTCTCCTGACCCATCTGCTGGTGTCTGCCCAGGTGAGTGTTGTCACTGTGCTTGAGCTGTTTTTTGAAACCCAAGTCCTATATCTAAAATAGTAGATTTCACTCCAAATGAAGTACATGCTCATAGAAAAATTAGGGAAGGTCAGAAAAGCCATTTAAGTGAATAAATGAATCATCTAAACTTTACTATAGAAACACAGCCACCATGAATTTTTGGTAGGTCTCATTAATGATTTTTATATAAAAAGATATGTCTTTAATGGATATAGTCAAAGCTGACATACACTTGTAATATTTTTGTGTTAGGAAGCACATCTGGAGCAATCTCCATGTTACTACCATCCTTTAAGATACAAATTTTAACAGCTGTGTCATTGTATGAGAATTATAATTTCATTGTTTAACCACTTTTGGTTTGGGGTTGTTTTGATGCTATTTCCAACATTGTTTAGATTCCAAGGCATGGAATTAGGAAGTCAAGTGGCTTGAATATTTTTAAGCACTTAATTCACATTGAATACTCTCCATAAAAATTGTATTATTTTTACACATTCTCATTAACAACAAAAGTGCCAACTTCACTCCCTTCTCATTGACATTGGAGTAGTGCCAGTTTTCACAATAAATCTTTAAAAACTTGACTAGATTTATCTTTAAAGTACTATGTAATGCTTTGGATCTGACTTGTAATTTGTCATTATATTTGCATCAGAATGACCCAGGCCATGGCCAAACTTTTCATGTGTCACCTGAAGTGTTAAAAAGGTTCCTTCTGCTTCTCTCCTCTCCCTCCATCCATTTGGAATTTGTGTCAGGCTTTCTTCCACTAGGCTCCTTGCTCTCTGTCCATCTGAAATGCAGCCTTACTCCAAATCCTGTGATACTGCAAGGTACTAAAGTTACTCTAATATTACGGCATCCATATAAAGCAAGAGCCTTATGCAAAAAGACAGGAAAGAGAGTAACTAAAATATTAACAACATTTATCTCTGGGTGTTGACATTGTGGATTCCTTTATTCTTGATAGCTTTTGTCATGTTCCACATTTTCTCCAACATAGCACACTTTTTTTTTTTCTTTTTGATGGTAGTGGAATTTGAACTCACCTTCATATTTCCTAGGCAGGTGCTCTATTGCTTGAGCCACACCTCCAGCCCAGCATGGCACTTTTATAATCAGAAAGGAAGTTACATGATAAAGCAAACATTCTTCTAATAAATCCAATTGGTTTATTCGTTTGTCCAATAGATATGGTATTGAGTATCATCTTTGTTGTAGGCACTATTCTAGGTAAACAAACCAAAGATCTCTGCCTTTATAATCTCACGGAGAGACAGGTAGGTAAACAGTAGACACAATAAGTAAGAAAATATATAGTATGTTAGAAGATGATCAATGCTATGAAAAGGTGGAAGAGAGTAAAAGGATCTAAAGTGGAGGGTGGGGTGTCATATATCTTAATTAGGTGATCAGAGTAGACTTTACTGTGAAGGTGACATTTGAGGAAAAAAAAAGTGAGGTATAGGTGAGGGAGTTGTTCATGTGCTGAGAACATCCTGACTTAACAGCCAAGGTCCTAAGATTAAAGAATGTGTTTTGCTTGTTTGTGGAAGCCAGAGTGGCCAGAACAGTTGAGCAAGGGGAGGATTAGTAGGGGATGCTGTCAGAGAATTGATAGTGGGAAACGAGTAAGGGATTGGAAGTGAGATCCACATCTAGATAATGGGAGGCTTTGGCTTTTACTCCCAGTGAAATGAAGTTATAGTGGGGTTGAAGAGAGGGGCATGATCTGACACACATTTGAAAAGAATCGCTTTGCTGTGTTAAGAATAGGCTGTAGTAGGCAGAGAGATCCCATTATTAGGGGAAGGGCAATGATGTCTTGGGTGAGGTAACTGGAGAGAAATGAGAAATGGTCAGAGTCAGGCAGTATTGGGGTGAGAACTCAGGACCTCATGTTTGCTAGGCAGGCACTCTACCAGTTGGGTTACTTTGCCAGCTATTCACTGCTTTCTTACAGCACTCATCCTTGGATAGCATTATTTTAATACAGTTTTTGTATCTCTCTCTTAAGCTAGAGTTGGATCATGAAGGATGGGATCTTATTTTACCAATCTTTGTGTCCTCAATCCTTGGCACGTAGTAGTGATCAGTGATTGTTGATTGAATATTGAATGATTGGGGGTGGTGGAATGATTCAAGTGGTAGAGTGCCTGCCTAGCAAGTGTGAAGCCCTGAGTTCAAAGCCCAGTACCTCCAACAACAATGAAAAAGTACACAAATCAGAAATGTGCATCTTGGCAAATTTTCACAGTGAACACACTTATATAACTAGTGCTTAGATGAACACAAAACAAGCATTACAAGTCTCCAGGAGAGTCCTTGTGCCACCAGTCATTGCCCCCACTAAAAGTACCCAGGATTCTGACTTATCACACTGCAACTAAATAGAACTATATGGTATTGTTCTGTATCTGACTCCTTCCACTCAACATTGTGCTTGTGAGATTCATCATTATACGACTGCCAATCACTCATTCACTGCTGTACTACATTCGGCACCAGAGAAGCACCTGTGGTATTTCCGACTTTTAACTGCAGTGAAGAGTACTAACACGAACATTCAAGTGTGTCTTGGTGATCATATGTACATATTTCTTTTGAAGCGTATGTGCCTAGGAGTAGATTTGTTGAATGGTCTACATGTCAGCCATTCATACCACTCAAATTTTCAGAGTAGTTTTGTCAACTTACACACTTACCATTAATTTATGAACAGCAGTTCCTCCACCAACTTGCCAGCACTTGGACTTTCTCTTTCATCCTGCTGGGAATGCAGTGGTATCACCTTAAACTTTAATTTTCACTTCCTTGATGATTAATAAGGCTGCACATGTCTTCATATGTTTACTGGCCACTAGGATAGTTCTTTTGTGGAGTGTCCAAATGTTTTGCTTATCTGTTGGGTTGTCTTTTTGTATTTGATATTTTAGGCATTCTTTGCATTTTTTATAAAAGATCTGTTGCAAATTACTTCTATAGCATGATTTATATTTACATTCTTTTAATGTCTTTGATAAACAGAAGGTTTTTTTGTGTACTTGTTTTTGTTTTTGCCGGGGTAGGGATCAAACTGGGGTCTTCTGCATGCTAGACAAACACTACCATTGAGCCAGTTCTTCATTTTAATGTGGTCTAATTGACCACTTTTTCTTTATGATTTCACTTTTTGTGTTCTGTTTTGAAATTTGGTTTTTTTTCTCATCTGTGCATTCTTATTTTCTACAACAATCATGTATTGCTTTTGTAATTACTTAAAAGAGAACAATTTTTTAAAATAAAGAAAAATGCAAAAGAGCTTAAGCATTCTACAATGTAAAATAAAATTCAGTGGACCTAGTATAGAATTGTTCTAAAAAGAATCCAGGAAATGCTCAGTGCCTGCCAAGATCACAGGTGCCTCTTGGAAAAAAAACATTATTTCTACATCAGATGCTACCTGCAAATTGAGTCCACTTCCCTGACTGATACGTGAAGTTCAGTGTCTTAGCCAGGGGCGTGTGCAGATGGAGTGAAGGCAAGGACAGGGAATTGCCTTGGAGCCACTTTTAAAACAATTCTTTTAAAGGTGTGTGCTGGGCTGGAGGTGTGGCTCAAGTGATAAAGCTCTTTCCTAGCAAGTGTGAGGCCCTGAGTTCAATCCCCTATACAGCAAAAAAAAAAAAAAAAAAAGGTGTATGGTAACACATCCTCTCCTTTGTTAAGTGTAAATGTGGGGCTAGATGGGAACCCATGCGCCCTCCTTACCCCAACCCAGCAGAACTATTCTGAGTCTTGTTCAAGGCAGTGCCTCTGCTTGGGCTGTAGTCCTAATGCATCCTCCCTATTTGGGACCTCCCTTCTTTGGTGGTGCCCTCTTCCTACACTATCTGACTTTCCCTGTCCCATCTATGCTAGGCATATCTTAGACAAAACTCTTCAGCACTGCTTTTCCCCTTCCTCCTGCTCTTTTCCTGTTTCTTATGCAGCAACATGTCTCAAAGAGTAATCTCCACAAATTCTGTCATCTTCAGCCCTCAGATTTCCAGTTCAGTCTGCTTCTGCTCAAGCACCCTTCTAAAACCTCATTTAGCAGGTCAAAAGGATACCTCCATTTTTCCAAATCAAATCTAACAGACATTGTTCTTTTTTCCTCTTTTGACTTCCACACCACACTGTCCTGATTCTCTTTTACCTTGCTCCTTCTCAGATGCCTTTACTGGCTCTTAGTTTTCTAAATAATTTATAAATGTTCAAATATCTCAGGGCTTAGTCTTGAATTCTCTTTTCCTATCTCTTCAGTAGCTACCTGGGTACTCACATTTATGGCCATGGCTTAGATTTTGTATGTGCTTGTATTTTCCTTTCTCTAGCTCAGGCCTCTCCTTTGAGCCCACACTCATTTCTAACTCTAGTTGACTCTGCCTGTCTGAGTCTCATGGTATGTTACTCTTAACATGTGCTCTTTATTCTTCATTCCCGCCCATCATTCCAAGTTTGGTCTTCCTTAAGACTCCGTTATCTCACGAAACATCACCACTATTTACCTAAAGCCAGAAACATGAGAGTCCATGTTAGCATCTCCCTCACATTCAGTCTACTAAATCCTGTCATCAGCTCCCATGCTCAGTCTCCACCACTGCCCCCTCATTTTTTTGTTTGTTTTTTGTTTTGTTTTTTGTATTACTGGGGCTTGAACTCAGGGCTTCATGCTTACTGGGCAGGAGCCACACCCCCAGCCCCTTTTGCTTTAGGTATTTTTTCACATTTATGTTCAGGTCTACCTGGACCATTGCCCTCCTTTTTATACCTCCCACATAACTGGAATGATAGGCGTACCACCACACCCAGCTTTCTTATTGCTTGAGATGGGAGTCTCAACTTTTTCCCCAGGGTGGCCTGAAACTCTGATCCTCCTGATCTCTACCTCCCAAGTAGGATTACAGGCATAAGCCACCACACCCAGCTACCCTTGTCTTAAGCCACCATACTGTACTGTCCTCATCCAGTGCAATATCTCCCTAACTAGTCTCCCTAATAAGTCATGCAGGTCCCCAACCTAAAACCCTCCACATTTTATCCTCAGTGCCTTGCATTCTCTCTGTCCTTGATTCCTCTGTGCCCTCAATTCCTAGGTGTCACTAATACTGGCTCTTCTCAGGTTCTTAGCCATGGCCGGCCTACACAAGATTGGCTCACTCCTTCCTTCTCCCTATGCCTCACTTAAATGCCATTTTCTTAGGGCCTTCCTTGGTCATTCTAAGTAGGTCACCTTATCCTTAGCCTAGCAAAATCACATAATCATTCTGTCCTACCACACATTACAATTTGTAATTAATTTATTTTTTTCTACCTGCCTCCCTTACTAGTATATAAGCTTCATTAGAGTGGAGACATCAGTCTTCACTAATGTGTGATGACACAATACATTTTGGCACTCCATCAGTCATTTGTTTTGGTGCTTGGGATTGAACCCAGCGTCTCAAGCATCCTAAGCCTGTTCTCTACACTGAACTGTATCCCCATTGGCATTTTTTTTTTAATTAATAAACTTTTGTAACCCATAGCATTGTACAGCTGAAAAAGAAACCATTTCCTCATGTTTCCTAACTAAGGATTGCTACAAAAGTAATCTGGACATGCCTCTCTTTCTTACAAAGTCTAAAAGCCAATTTAATTAACACAGGAATGAATATAAACCAGGGCCAGGTTATACATGGTGTCTTCTGGTGATATTCCATTAGGTTCTGGCTTATGGCTATCTTCTTGAGCTGCCCTTTGAATCTAGCAAAGCACAGGTCCACAGACCAGTGTCTGTTGGCTAGGTTAGTTCTACATGCTCTGTGGGTCCTTAATACGTGCTAAGCATCCTATGTTTGGTGAAACACAGTCCAGCTGTTGAAAGTATTCCATATTTTCCTCTATATTTGGCTATTCTCATGTTTAATAAGCATGTGTTACTACCGAAGCTGATTTATTTTTCCTTTGCAGACCTTCCTAAGTCCTCATTATGGAATAAATCTGGTGTCAGCATACATAATAATGGTGCTCATGGGTATCTGGGCATTTTTTGTTGCTGGAGGCAGTTGCCGAAGCCTGAAACTCTGCCTGCTGTGCCAAGACAAGGACTTTCTTCTTTACAACCAACGCTCCAGATAACCTCTGACAATCTGCATCTCCCAGACAGCAGGCTACATCTTTAGAGGAAGCACACCTGTGCCTTTTTCTAAAAAAAAAAAACCTTCTCATGTAATTTAGAAAAAAAGTAAAACTATCTAGACTGGAATTCCATTCATGTGGCGTAGCAGTGGTCTGCAGCCTGGCTGTACACTAGAATCACCAGGAAGCATAAAGAATACTGACTCTGGCCTATCCTTCCAGATTTAATTGGCCTGGGCATTCAGTAATTTTTGAAAGTTTCAAGTGATTCTGATGTGTGGTGAGGCTGAGCGTCATTGGGCTCTACATGGGAAGTTACTGAGAACATCCAGAGTGAATGAGACTCTGGTGTTTTAACTAGCTCCTGACTTCTGCTAAACAAGTAAATTTCTAAATGTCAAATCCTGTTAGCCTTTGTCCTTTTATGTTCAGAAGTTCCAAAAGGCTAAAGAGCTATGAACTGTTTTCATGTCCTGCACTAGTACTGTCAGAAAAACATGATAGGCTGTACTTCTAAATGCAGTAAGTTATACTGACTTACTAGAACTTAGCCAAAGTAAAATTTGATTAATAAGCTATATTTTCCCTAAGTTTTTCCATTGTCAGTTGTTTCTTTTTTTAGGTATTACATTATTTTTTAATATAACTTCAAGTTTCTCTTTTTTTGTGGGACTAGGGTTTGAACTCAGGACTTTGTGCTTACAAAGCAGGCACTCTTCCACTTGAGCCACACCTCCAGCCCTAAATTCAGTTTCTTTAAGATTGATTCTTTTCTTACTTCCTTGGGAAAATACAAAATCAAGAATTGTGCAAGGTCTGTGAGTCTTTCCTCTGTTTAATGCTGCATTGTTTATCTGAGTGCCAGGTACTGGGTTGGTTGAAGTGAAGCCCATTGTTTTATCTTCGAGCAGCTGGTCAGGGAACTGAATGATGTGCCTCTGGAAGGGCTTCACTGGACCTGGTGGAAGTATAACCAAAAAGCACAAGGAATATAAACCAAAAGAGTGATGTTGACCCTTTCATTTGCTTCTGTGACACTAAACAGCACTTTCACCCAGTGGTATAGTTTAAAATGGAAATAGATCTTAAGCTGCCAAATTTCATGCAATTACATAATCCGTATAATCTTAAACTCTAGTAGGTGTGCCTGGGTTTGTGTAGCAATGATACAGCAGTCCCTGTATAATATTATCTATAATAATAATCAAGGTGTTTGTTCAGCTTCTAAATAGCCCTTTTGATTTCCTTTATAAAGAGGAAATGCCAGTGAATTATGACTTTACTAACTGGAAATTGTTCCTAGCCAATGTCTTTGTGGAGCTGATAGCCTGAAATGGAAATTATCCATTACAGTGATACCTCAGATGAATTTGACAGTACTGTAGAAGGGAAGAGTAATGAAAATGTGTGAGATGGAGAGCAGCCAGTGCTTTGAGCTAATTGTATGTCATTCCAGAGAGGAGAACCTTACACACGAACTAGATCTTTACCAGTGAAACCTCCCCATGCCTAAAATACCAGAGTGTCTCAAAGTAGAGATTTAAGAAGAGCTAGGCTTCTCTAGCAAGGCTGCACACAGTCTGAGAAGCAATTGTAGTTATTCCTCTAAAGGTTACTTCACTAATACCAGTGCTTCTGCTGCAGTCTGCAGTTCTCGAGTTTTATTCAAGATTTTCCTGGCGCTAAAGACCAAACATGAAATTTACTATGCAGAGTCAAGGGGAATAAGATGCCCATAGAACTGAGATTTATTCCTGCAAAACACGGTATTCTTTGGTAAATAGAACAAGAAAAATATATACTTGGTTATTATTATTGACTTACAAATCTCTTAAGTGGATATTCTTATAAAATACTTGCTGATCTATAACATGTAGAAAGTCTGAAAATGTTTATATTAGTCAGACGAGCTCTGAGCAAGTTATCTGTATACTAATTAATATTAAGCTGGGATATTGTAAAATCTCATTTAATAAAAACTCAGAAGGAAATCTTTCTTGTTGAGACTATTACCTTAGTTCAGGAAATTATTTATAATCCTTGGTTACCAATGAATAAGGGAACATTGTAACTGATTTCTCTTAGAATGTGAATATTGTCTTAGTTAACTTGGGCTCTGCTGTTTCAAATAGCCTGCCAAGGAAGCCCAGAGGCAGGGTGTAGTCTTATATATATATTGAAATGCTATTTTTTTCATTCATTATAATGAGCTTTTTTTTTTTTTTGAGACATTCTCACTATGTAGCCTAGGCTGTCCTTGAACTTGTGATCCTCCTGCCTCAGCCTCCCAAGTGCTGGGATTCGAGATGTGTGCCACTATGCCTGGTTTAGAATGAATTTCAGAGCCCTGGTGGTAATTGAAGAGGTAGAGTAGGTGTTGATGTTGTATGCTCTCCCCCACCAAGGGTTTTCTGTTTGGAGGGAGATGTGCATATAAAAATGACCTTGGAATTGTGAATGTTGTTGCAATGCCTAAATACGTTGCCATGTGAATAATAGCAATGATTCTGTTGCTGTCTTCTCTGAGCTGTATTTAGCAGTTATAACTGGAGACGTCTTGTTTCCTGGCCTGCCTGATGGCAACATAGGAGCAGTGGGCTCTTTTAGAGCCTTTTGATGAAAATGTGGTTGAAAGGAAGTAATGCTATCTGCAGACTGCATAAGAATGGCTTTTGTCCCAGTGTGTTCATCTAAGCAGTTGTAACAAAGATTCCCTATCGCTTCAGCCTGAAACAGGCTTTCATTGTCACTGTGGGCCCAGGGTCACACTGCAGCCTCACTAGCCAACCAGCCAAGGTGGCAGCCTGTCTCAGGCATCAGCATCCAGCTTCCTAAGAAGAGGTCCTCTAGTGTGCTGGCTGTTTGCTAGTTAAGTGTTTTTTCTAGACCCCACTATTCTTAACTCCTGGTAGACAAGGAGATGTCACACAAAACAATTTTAGAAAGCTTTGCTTAGAGCATTAAGTTTGTTTGTCATATAGCCCAGGCTGGCCTTGAACTTGGTGATCTTCCTGCCTCAGCCTCCCAAATGTTGAGATTACAGGTGTGTACTACCACACCTTACTAGAGCATTTTATTTATTATTACAATGTCTGTATTTCTCATTTAATAAGAGGCTTTACTTTATTCTAGCAGTTTTTAGTGTTTAGAAGAAGTGGGTACTATGTAACATCTATAAGTTATATAAGTTATTACCATTATGTCCTATATTTTTGCAGTATCTGACCTTGCATTCAGTATACAAAGCAGTAGACTTTCCAGACTTGTATTTTTCAGTGAACAATTAAAAAAGTCTGTTTGGCACTACTCGTTTCCTGTGTTTCTCCTTCTTTGAAATAGATATCCTTCAGTATCCATTACTGGTATCCTTCAGTATACAGTACTACAGTTTTTTGTTTAGTGTAAAACTTGGCTGTATGTTTTGTTATGAATGATCAGTTCTGAGCCTTTTTTCAAAGAGAAGCTCTTTAATTTAAAATTCATAAAGCTGATTTCACATCTGTGTATTCAAAAACAATTTGGTGCAGAGAATTTCTGCTACTGGAAAGCTGATCTCAATGTCAATTCACAAATAAGAGAGCAGGGTTTTGAGGAAAAGGAAGTAAGATTTATTATTCATCAGAGGCAGAGGAGGACAGGGAGAGTCAACCCCTCAAAGTTCTGTCATCCCAATTCTGAGAGAAAATGTCTGCTTTTTAAACGGGAGTTCAGGGGCTCAGTTTAAGTATGTGACAAAATGCATATCACACAAGAGGTGCTCGCCTTGGTCCTCCCAGCTTACTGGCACCATATCTCCAAAGCTGTATTTCTTGGCTGACAGGTATACTCCTTGGTGGTCAGAGATTATGGGGAGAAGATTGCTTGGAGAAGATTATTGGAGAGTAAAGAATGCTAATTTTGGTCTCTCCAGCATGGAAAGAGAGAGAAAGACCAACAGACACAAAAGGGAAAAAAATGTCAGTTTGAATAACAAGTATAGCAACGTGGCCAGGACACAAGCTAGCTACAACCAAAAGGTTTTTCTTCCTTTTTGTAGTCTGAGTAAGTTCCTTTGGTTTTCTCAAATCAAGCAGAGAAAATCATCAAAGATCCTGAAACCTCACTTTGAAAAACTTTGTAATTATAAAATAGTGAAGTCATAAAATATCACATGACAGTTCCTGAAGACCAGAGTCAAGTGAAAAAAAAAAAAAAACAGGCTTCTGCCTAGTGATCTTGAGTAGCCTATAAAATCCTTTTGCTTCTCCTCACCCTGGAGAGGAGACCGTGCAGCTAAGGGGTCAGGCGTGACTTGCACTCAGAGTATGTAGGGAATCATGATGACCTGTAACTCAAAGCCTGGTGGTGGCAGTTTGCTCTGGTTTGAAATGAAGCTGTTCCAGATTTACTGATCTTGTTACTGGATGATACAGCCTCAGGGCCAAGGCTTTGTGTTTTTGACTCCTAAGCCTGGGGAAGAGACTCACATTTCTCAGGTGTCAGCCCTGACTCGTGTAGAGTTTCATTGACCCTTCCACCCTGAACATGTAGCTCTCATTTAATTGTTATTTGTTTGGTATTTAGTTGGAATGGTATTTAAATGGAGATTTTCCTATGACCAGCCTCAACATGTGAGAAATCTCCAATGGAAAGACTTACATTTTACTTTGACCCCTCTGAAAATACAAGAGAGAGGAATCACTCCACTGTCTTATGATCCCAGTGTAAGTAGAAGAACTGTGGGTTTAACACATTCCAAGATAGCCAAGCATAAGGCTCAGTAATTTATAGGTGATAAAAAGTGTGGATCACTGTAAATTCATCTTCTACCTACTAGTAAACTAGACATTTTTTAATACTTGTGCAAAACCAGAGATGGAGTTTATAGTGCTTCCTTGCAAGGCAAGCGCTCTACCACTTGAGCCAACCCCCAGCCCTTTTTTTGCTTTAGTTATTTTTTGGATAGGGTATTGCATTTTTGCTTGGGCCATCCTTGGACTGGGATCCTCCTACCTAGACCCTCCTGCACAACTGGGACCACAAGCATATTCTACCATGCCCAGCTTTTTGGTTGAAATGTCAGTTAACTTTTTCCCCTGGGCTGCCTTTAAAAGGGAGATCCTCCTGATCTCCACCTCCTAAGCAGCTTGATCATAGGCATGAGCTGCTGTGCCCAGCTTACATTTTTATATAAAATCATGATTGCTGTTCTATAATGACTGACCAAAATGTGAATGAAATGATTTTCCATTTTAAATACCTATACTGCACAATGAAAGACTCAATATTTAAATATATAAACATTTAAAATTTTAAAATAATTTATCAAAGTGATAAATGATTTTCTGTCTCGTTTGTTAACTTACCTAATCTAGATTCATAACAATATTACTCTCAGAATAAAGCATATGCAAATTGTTTCTATATTTACCCAAAATATACCATAAATCTGCAATACTAGATATTAATAAAGGATTCTGGACAGGCCCACTTATATATGGAAATTTAGTGTATAATAATATTGACATTTTTAATCAGAAGGGAAAAGCTCAAGTCTTTAATAAATGGGCCTGATTATTTGATTATATTTGGGGAGAAAAGCTACATTCTTACCTCACTTTCACAAAAATGTAAACTTAATAAAAATTCAAATAAAAAAAAAACCCATAAAAGAATTAGAAAAAGTA